GGGTGTAAGACAAAAGAGTGCTTTTCTGACGGGGGCCGTTGCATATAAACCACGACAAGTCGAGCTCAATGACCATTTCAGATTTTTTAAGTAGTCTCATCTTGTAGAGCATGTTCGAAAACCTATAAGGTCAAATTTTTAAGCTGCTCGAACTTTTTCTTCTGCAGATATGAAATCTTTTCGACTGGAGTAAAGTTCGAGAAGTTATGTGCGTGAAAAGCGTACATTTCGTTTTTATCACGAACAAGAAGAGATGAAACCGAGATTTCTTCAGGGTAGGTAATACTTGATGTCTACCATAGTGTACTATCTGGAATCGCCGTCAAAAGTCTAGGATACGCAGTTATAGAAAGTTTTGCGACCAAAGCCAAAGTAAACGGTAGGCATAAACATTCACTTTGTAGGTTTTTTCTGGCATAATGAAAACCTATATATGTTTCAAAAGAATACCATTGGATAGCCGTTCTCTACAAACTGAGCTGATCAGAATATCTAGACAGGTGGGATCAGTCAAACATATGCAAAAGAAGCGTTTGGATGTTATATATGTAGTACAGTGTTTTATAATCATAAGAACTCCTTTGTTTTTGATTTTTCAGTAAAAGCTGGAACGAAGCTGAATACGATTTTGAATAGCGAGAAGATTTTTCTATCAGATGAGATACATACCGCCATTTTATGAAGAAACTTGATAATAGGTTCAAAAGGTTGATTCAGGATTTCTGGAAAACCTGAAAGCTAGAAAATCAAGTCTTAACAAACAATTTTAACAATTTTTCACATCATATAGCCTGACAGAACAAAGAATTCTGCGAAAAGTAAGATATCTCCCGGCTGTCCATAACGCTTTTTCACCCAGCTGTAGTCGATTTACGAATGGCTACAAAGCGGGTGAAAAGTACCAAAATATTCAGATGTAGTTTCAAGCTTTGGTTTTTCATTGATGCATACACTCTGAGTGTCCTCTACCGATCTGCAAAAACATTTCTGTTGGTAATGTTTTACCCTTGAGAAAAACGATTTTCGAGGTCCCCTACCTCAAAAAACCGATATTTTTCTTCAGTTTTCTGCCGAAAAAGTACTGTTTCGCTCCCGTTTCTCCGGCATGGTAAGAAGTATCGGACTGAAACTTTTTTCACATATACTAGGTTTCATGGTGGATATATTTTTTTTTATTTTTATTTCAAAAAATATTGCTCTGGTGATTTTTGGCAGCTTTTACAAAATTTATCTTAGTAAAAAAAATAAGCGTTTTTAAGGATGTGCTCGGTACTTCGGCTCTTTTATTCGAAAGAATAAAAGATATAAGAAAACAAAAAAAAAATACCCACCCTAAATTGTGTCTAAAATTCTAAAATCTTCAAAAAAAATTTCAACTCTACCAAACGCGCTATCTCGAAGAAAACGGGGCGAAAAGTACGGTAATTTTGACCCAATATCTCATAGAAGGCTGCATTTGGAAACTTTGAGTCTATGACAAATTTTGCTCCGCTCATCGAGCTCTATCTGCAGAGGTTCTCCAGAAACCTCGGAAAGGGGGAAGGGGTACCGTTAAAAATGACTGACACTATGCTTCTAAAAAGCATCATTCTGGAATGAAAATAAGATTGTTGTGTTCTTTTATTCTAGCTTGGATCAGTACTCTTCGTGAACAAGAAGACTTGGGCAATTTGAAATAGCCTCTTATATCTGACTTTCTCAACGATTTAGCACATTACTACGAAGTATTAATCGAAAATGAAAGCATAGCTTACAAGTTCTATTTATAATTGATCCAAAACAGATTTTAAGATAGTCACTATCAAAGACCTGTATGTAAAATGGTCAGTAGATGGAACTCTATGTTTCATTCAAGCTTATCAGTTCGTTGATAGAACATGGAGAAATATGTTCGGCAAACTGGGATCAAACAAAAAGTCTACAAACGATTAAACCAGAAGCAGTTCAACCAAAAGAATATTTTCAAAAACAAGTATAATCAACAAATATTATTCAGTGTGATCGATTCTTTTTTTAAACAGATAGAATGTGTTTATTATAAAAATCAAGTATGACCTATAGTTTTTTATTGTTTGCATTATTATCTGTCCATTTTTTCACAAAGAATGAGATACGCGTTAGAACCAAATTTCTTCCATGAGAAAGTTTTAATCTCTTTTCTGTTAACATAACCAAGATAATGTGCTGAATGTGTTTAGAGTTAAATGACTCGTCATTATTAATACCTTTAAGAAAACAAACAAAAACTGGCGTTTTAAACATTGTTTTGTTCGTGCGCATAGTGGGCAACAACATGGACATTAAGTGGAAAAGTGAAGATGAGATTTTTCGTAATCTGAATAGCAACTGACAAACGCTCTATCTCTTTGCCATTGGACGCTTTTTTCTAAATTAGTAGGAAAATCGCTATGAAAAATTTGATTGAAAACAATTTGCTTTCGAAAAACTGGATTATGTGCAAAATCAAAGTAAGCATTTCGAAGAACAAACACATATCCAGAATCTGCGGCAAATTCTCTATCGACTGCAAAAATAAAATTTCTTTTTTTGGCTTTTGAAACAGGAGAAAAAACACAAAACTTTTTTCTAGCGAGTTTTCCCAAAAGGTATCTTCAGTAAAGTGCGTTTCGACTTTTTTTCACAGCTCCAAATGCAATGAAATTTTTCCCAAATGTTCTTCTATATATTGGCTGTCAGCATAGTTAACGAAAAGTTTCCTATCGTGAGTTATAGGTTTTATAGATAAATACGGATTATCGCAGTCCAGGAACATTGAAATTAAAAACCAATAATATATTTGGAATCAGCGAAAAAACTACGTCGAATGGTGTATAATTCAGCCGTGTGTGTAGGGAAACTTTTGAATTTAGTTCATTCTTTTGTTTCATGCCTGTGCGTGTAGGGATTAGAGGGTGGACCGTTACCCCGATAACGGTAACGATTTTGCGTTACCGTTACTGTAACGGGTAACGTTTAAATTAAATGAATAACTTTCAAGTTTGCTTAATATAATTTTGACTTAAAACGTTAACTGCGAGCAGTGTTCTTATATATAATTCATAATTTTTTTAATGGCATACAAATTCTTTTCAATGGATAGCAGTAGACGCATTAGCTTTTCTCCCATTCCTGTCTTTGTTTTCTAAAAGGATAGTTAAAAGAGGTGTGTTCTGTGTTGTAAAAAAAGATATTAACACATCTTCATTCTGGTTGGAAAATACTGACCGCCTACCGCTATTATGAAAGTTTGTGAAGAAATATTTAGCTATACCAGCAAGCACCGTCGCAAGTGAAAGTGCTTTTTCAATTGCAAACTTTATCCTCAGAAATAGTCGTTGTGGCTTATCGTCGAAGTCAATTAAATTTTCCATGTTCCTGAGAGACAAAGTCTAGTTGTTAAAAGCTATTGTTTATTATTACTATCGATATTTATAGATGAAATAAAATATAGATCTGAGTAGTGAGCTATAGAAGAAAACAGAAGAGTTTGTGATATACTTTTAACCTTTACAGCTCGGTTCACGTTAGCACAGAAGCCAATCTTCAAAAAAGATTCTTATCAGGGCTTTATAGTTTAACAAAAACAAAACATTAAGGTTTTCGTATCTGCTCTTTTCAGTGGCATGGTTGTCCAACTTTCAAAGTGTGTGTGTGCAGGCCTCTTCCAAAACCTGGTCTTCGGCAAACTAGTATGAACATACTGTGGGAATTGAAAACCACGTCGTTGAAAAGAGTACATACGAAAACCTATAAAAAGTGTATTTAGAGGCTTTTGTGCTACTTTTCTAGCACATGTTCATGTGCCAAGCCAAAATTGTTCACTATGTCACATACAGTCAAACCGTTACCGTTACAAGTAACGGCCGTTACCCGTTACTAGTAACGGTAACGCTTCAATCGTTACCGTTACTGTAATGATAACTGGTAACGGTCCACCCTCTAGTAGGGATTTTGACTGAAATTTTCAAAATTTGAAATTATCGACAGATGAAATTATCTACACACTATTTTTATCGATAACCTATAGAAATAGTGTCTCTATCGAATACAATTCTTTTTGAGCTTTATAAAGGTTTTCTACGTGGTTTAATAGACCGAATTTCTGGAAATCCATTTAGAAAACTCTTTTAGAATTTGAAAAGCATTCCACTAGATAGAGAATCGTCGATAACCTATAAAAAACGCTTATGTTTTCTTCTAGCTTGCAGGCCAAAAGATCACGTGCCTAGTGAAAACTGCCTACTGTGACGAATTTGTTTTGATATCATCCATCACTGATATATAAACATCACTGATCTGATTTTGAGAAGAAAATTTTCTCCACAATTGTATCAATCATTGAAACGTGGACAGCACGTTTCTAATTCTGAGACTGATGCCAATGATAGCATTATGAACTGAGACATCCAAAAATTGACTATTTTCTGAGAATATCTAACAATAAATAAACAGTATTTTAAAATATCTAGAAGGTGACTAATAACAGTTACCTTCGTACCTTTGTTGTTCATGTCTTTGTTTTGGATGTTTTTTAAACATCTTTATGTAAAATTCATAAAACGAGACAGATGAAAATACTAAAAATGTATCATTCATTCATCTCAGTCAAATAGAGTCAAAATTATTCTTATCATTAAGATTTAAATCAAGTTCACGTCTGACATCTAAAATTTATTAATATATCAAATTTGCATGCATTCCAGAAAAGATAAAAAAATATCTGAAATAGAATGAAATTATAAACAAATGAGATGTGTCAGAATCATTCATCTTTTACCTCTCTTAAACATTTAATAAAAAGTAAAACGAGAAATAGTTAAAAAGATATCAACAAATGAAAACGAGAAGACTATCTGTCATTTTGTTTCAGAGATTTCTGCCTCTATCTGATTAATATGCCCATTGTTGTCTGCGTTTGTCAGTTATGTATCTGATATGTCCGATTGAGAAGTGGTCACTATTGTTATCGCATCTTCTGTCAAATTTTCTTCTTTAGTATTATTTTTCTGTTTTGTTTGACTTTGTCTACCATCTTCATTGCTCGTCATATCATTATTAGAACATTTTAAACAATCGTATATTAATTTTAAATGAGTCGTTATGGAATCTAACTGAGAATTAGTACCAAATAAACCTAAATATACAATCGGCGACTTTTCAAATCATTATTTTCTCTTTGATTCAAAAATACCCATTTCTTACCAAGACATGTGATAGACGATGTTCTAACTTCTGTTTTATCTCCATCTTGTATTATCGTTGTAACGATTGATTTTGTTTCACAGGCTTTATTTTGTATCTGAATCAATTCTTCTGTTGAATTTCCATGTACAACAACTTTGGTTTGGCCAAACATCATCCAAAAATTTAAGTCCATTGAATGTTGATCGATTAATTTTGAATATAAATCAACTGCAGCATGAGCCACTTGAGCACACATTTCACCTGGACCCATTTTCAATGAACCATTAACAACAAATAACATTTTATACATTCTATCAGCTCCAATGTCACTTTCAGATTCTGTCTAAAAACAATAGAAAGAATTATCAACAATCAGAAAAAATTATATATTTTGTGTTATACCGATTGAGAATTTACAAAAGAAACATTCGTTTGAGTCGCTTGTTCACGACTATTTCCTTGAGTGCATGTTTGGTGATGTTGTCCTTGTTGAATGACTGATTTTTCAATTGTTTTAAATACAGCTGAACGTAGTTGAGCTTTTATTTTCGATATAAGACCTTCATTCTCTAATGATTGATAGACTAAATCTTTTAATTCAATTTCATTACGTCTTTAATGGCTGTCGACATTCTCGGAATAAAAAATATAATTTTTTATTAAAAGTAAATTTGTATTTTCATTTTTATTTATTCCTAATCTATGGTCTTATGTTTTCTTAAATATACGATTAGGCCATCAGATCATTGTAAGTCAACAATCTTTACTTTTGAATCAAACATACAGAGAACATTTCGCACTCGACCTAGGACAAATTTTTACTATGTGAGTTTTTGTAAAAATTCATAAAAAGAAATACTTTTGCTGTGAAAAATGGAACGTTTCGTGTCTTCGTACGTATGATTGCATTATCCCTCAACCTACTACTGGGATAAGCTATTCTGATATTCTGATAATTATTTTGCTTCCAAATTACTTGAACATGAAAATTAAAACCAGCAGACAGTGATTTATAGAGTTAAATGTTTAAACCGGTCAGCTCAGCATCAGCATGTATCGTCATTGTAGTATACCACGTGGATAAGACACTCTACTTTGAGGTAATGTCTAATAAAAAATGAGAATTTTCCATTTTGCTCCGAGCTACAAAGTGAAATAAGTACATCTTTATTATCTAACAGTCTGTTAGATTCAGCTATTTCTTACTATGATTTTTAGTCATATTCATTGAAGTAGCCGCTTGAGTGAAGAGGTTGAATGACGATACTTCCTAGTTCAATGTATTTGACTCACGTACACCACTAAATTTCATATTCATTTTCTTTCCAGTTTTAAAGATTTTAGCCAATCTCCAGTTTGACATAATCATGCGAAACTTCTTCCTTGTTTATTTTTTCTAATATTTTCTAGTAGGTAGTAGACGTTTAGTAAACAAAAGACAAAACTCCTTTGATTGCTTTTTCAACCATGTGTTCTCACAAAGAAAGTAATAAGCTAAAGAGGCAGAGAGAGAAAGAGAATTTAAAAACAAAATAGATAATCCGAAGCTAATGTGGAGAGCAATGTCGAAGTTTTTTGCTTGAGCAAAAACATCAGTTTCTCAAGGTGCATTTTCTCTTTTATATTACAAAGTCTCGATATATCAGAGATCAAATAACTAGATCAAAGAAGACAACTGAGTAAAGATTTTACACAACGTTGCTTATTCTTCTTCAAAATATTTACAAGACAAAGAACTTATTAGTTGTGCGAACGACAGCGAGAGAGTCTAAAGGAAATCAAACCAAATCAAAAGTATAACTTCAACTAAACGCATGGCTGAATTCTAATTGAATGATTATATAATTCTCTTGACTTTAGTGTAGCACAGAGTCATGCAAAATGGTTGTCTGTCTTGTGTGTGCGAAAACAAAGAAAAATGGCTGATAGATAATTCCATGTATAAGCAAATCACAAGAGACAAACATCGAAAATTACTTTTTACGCGGGAGAGAAACATTCAAACAGATGACTGAAATAATATTTACTGATGCAGAGAGAAAAACAGTTAAGGAAACTTTTTCTGTATTTGGGAGATAGATGTCACGAGATATCGGTCGGTTTTGATAACACCAAAAAATCATCTATGGATAATAAAAGTTACAGAATATAGGTAATCTATCGTGGCGAATATATCAGATACACTTGCAGCCCACCTTCGCATTTTCAGTAGGTGTCCAGAAAACTTTTTAGCTTTATATTACCCTGTGCACTTTTTCTATGGAATCACCGAAGTTCACAACATTTCTCGGTTATGCTGAGTTAAGACACCCTACGACTAAACACTAGGACTCAGTTTATTGCCAGCTTATCGTCTTTTCTGATTGGTTCGTCCTATTTCTGTTAGAAGGTAACTACACTCTTTCCGAAAGAGTGTAGTTGGAGTGTAGTATAAGTTATACTTCCTTCTTAAGAATTTATGTTGTTCACTTGACTTTAGTCTAGGGTCTTACAAAATGGCTCGTTCTATGTGAGTGTGTGCAAAATAAAAAAATGACTGTCAGATGTTCCATGGACAAGCAATGCACAAGAGACAGAGATAACGTACCGCTCGTCTGCACTCGCTTAGTTCCTTGACTTTAGGAACTTATACGTGCGAAAGACCTTTCATGACTTTACACATGAAAACTACCTGCTTTTTACTCGAAACGATTCAAGCCCAACTGCATCCAATTTATGAATGCATATCAAAATTTCGCGCCTTTTTTCTAAAGGAGTTGCCAGAAAAATTTTTGCGGGAAAATGATCAGCACGGTCTGTTACCTATGAAGTCGTGTTTATCTCAAATGGGTTATCTGTATCCATCGTCTGTTCTTCTATCAACTATAGATGACAAAAAAAGAAACGATGTTTCATAATCCAGTCTTTTCGCCATCTTTAACCATTTTTAGGCTTGATAATATTCTGTGAGTTAGAATAGACAACTCTATTGTGCAAATATCACGTGCAACTGAAATACACTGAATAAGCAAAGTTGTTAATTCACCACACACAACTGATTAATCGATTAATTAGTTGAAGTCGAAATAAATCCTAGTTATGACACAATAGCCTAAGCAGAATTCATCGACGTTAAGATAAATTATTTGATGAATTTTTGTTCCTGTGTAGGAATACTGTCTCTCTTTTTTAAATGCACATGTCTTACAGAAATGTTCTTTATTCAGCTAGTTAAAGAATGAACATGGAAAGTAGATATCGAGATCGTGCCAGTGAACACGAACGCCGAATACTTCTTACCATGCCGAAGAAACGGGAGCGAAACAGTACTTTTTCGGCAGAAAACTTGATTTTGAGAAAAACCCAGAAAAGAAAGAAGGTCGATTTCACAGACTACTGCAATCTGTGCTTGTTAACACTTATCATTAGACTTTTGATAACAGGGATACAATGACTATTTCCATATAACTTCGCCAAACAGACTTCTGATTAAAACGACTCTTCAAACAGATTCTGTTTTCAAAAACGAGAAAAGGAAAAATATCGGTTTTTCGAGGTAGGGGATCTCGAAAATCGTTTTTCTCAAGGGTAAAACATTGCCAACAGAAATGTTTTTGCAGATCGGTAGAGGACACTCAGAGTGTATGCATCAATGGAAAACCAAAACTTGAAACTACACCGGAATATTTTGGTAATTTTCACCCGCTTTGTAGTCATTCGTAAATCGACTACAGCTGGGTGAAAAAGCGTTATGGACAGTACTTCTAGGTTTTCGAACATGCTCTACAAGATGAGACTACTTAAAAAATCTGAAATGGTCATTGAGCTCGACTTGTCGTGGTTTATATGCAACGGCCCCCGTCAGAAAAGCACTCTTTTGTCTTACACCCAATTTTGATGCCACTCTCAGCAAGTGTTTGCCATATCAAAGTTAGGCATGAAACGGTTATGGTTATTAACCGGTCATAACCGTAACCGATCGAACGGTTAACCGTAACCGTAAATAACCGCTTCATAACAGCTTCGTGTACTGATTGTAGAAAAATAAAGAATAATTTATTTGGAAAGAAAGAATAGTATATACAATATTGTTTGGATTCTTTGAGCGAAAAGATCATTAAGATTATTTTGTATCCTGCTACTAATGACACCTTCACTGTGGGTCACTTTTTTTAAATATATTTTAGAAATTAAGAATTACAAAGTCAAAACAATATTACAGTAGCGGAAAATTTCACATCTAAAGATTCAACCTTTTTTGTACTTTTTTGTATCCTGCTACTACTGACACTGCATTTCCTCGTGTACTGTAGTGACCATTTTTCTGCATTTTAAGTGCATTAGTGTGTCGTTCGTTTGATGACCAAAATAATATCATATTTATCCCATAAAAATGACAAAATTATCACTATATTATAATATAATAAATGAAATAAATATGATTTTAAAAATGAGCCATATATGACACATAAATGAGCGGTTTATGCCTCATTTTTCATGGCCTGGGTTACGGTTAACCGTTCCACCGGTTATGAAACCGTAGCCGTTGCATGCCTAATGAAAGTCTGATTATGAAAGCTTTTTCCCTTGTTGTCTCTTACCGTTTCGGGGCTTTTTAGAGTCCAAGGTCAAAAACCCACCCTTCACTGTGGGTCACTGTTTTTAAATATATTTTCTAGAGAGCCAAGATCCTCAGAAACCCACAAGATCATTTCGGGTTTTCCATAGATCCTTGATTTTCTAGAAAACTAAGATCTAATTCAAAAATGTGGTCCCATCAGTCCACGCAGTTAGGTGTCTAGTTTAAAATAAAACCAGCCCGAGATCTCTAGCTTAAAGTATATCTAAAAAAAGTGTCCCGCACTGGGCATGTTTGAACAAAAAACGTGTTTTGAGAGAAAACGCTGTGCATTCGTTGGTCTATTTTAGGACATGTAGGAAAATACTTGTAAGTTTTGAAGGCTAGATCACACAGAATTGTGCAACTTCTTATTTTGTAGATCAGAAAAGTCTGTTCTACAAATCTACCTATTCAGAAAAACTTTACTTGCTTAAGTATCCAGAAATAAATTATTATTTGAAGACGCTGGTTTGCAAGGCTTCCAGAAACCTCTCTCAAAAACCACCGAAACCCAGTTCTAGAGCCGAAAGCGATACAGATTCTGAAAGCAGACACTCCAGGCTATCTTTCCATGTGTTTGTCTCCAAATTGACTTTTTGATACAAAAAGACTGCATTCTGAGGGGGCGGGGGGTCCCTTAAGTTATCTATATGCTTACCTAGATAGACGGAGTCTGTCGAACATTCAACAACTTCTGTGTTTATCTTTTGTGTAAGATTCATGGAGTTTCTCATTCAAAGCAATCAATTTTATCGGCCATACAAAGGTGAAATTCAATGGATAAAAAATACTATCAGATACGTGACAAAAGCGAAACTGATGTAATGTGCATCGATGCGTGACAATGAACTAGAGATGATGCAAGAGAACAGAAAGAAATGATAAAATGTGTGTCGGTGTATAGATCAGGCTAAAATAAATAACTGTGCCAGAGGAGCGGGGCTACCGTTACACGAAACTTATTCTCAACCATATCCGTCCCTCCATCAAAAGATGGTCATTGGTTGTATGCCAAAAAAGTTTTCTTAAAAGGTTGAATCCTTAGGTGTAAAATTTTCCGCTACTGTAATATTGCTTTTACTTTGTAATTCTTAATTCCTATATCTAATTTTCGTAGTCGAAATTAACAGAAGATTTAAATATGAAATTGAAACGGGCTGATTTTTCTGAATAATATGCCAAACGGAGGATTATGTGTAGTTCACAAATCTCATCTAGTAAACAAAAGGTTATTTTACGACCGTCATAGCCGTTGAAAAAAACTAGACAAAATTCTGAGAGATCTCTGGAGAACTGAAGTGTGATTCTCGTGATGAAATATCCTGCGTTTCATGTGATGAAAATGCGTGTTTTTCTCTCCTAAAGATCTCGGGAAGCAAGAACTCGCATTTTTATTAGAAGAAACACAGGATTTTTTCTAACGAAATTTATTTAAATGAAAATCCTGTGAGATCTCGCGAGATTTTATAGAAAAGTTTTAATAGGGTGTTCGCTTTCTTCCCGTAGTAACCCAGGGCATTGAAAACCACCAAGTTAATTGCCAGTTAACTGTCAGTTAACTGACAATTAATGAGCAGTTTACTGCCTGTTTTTAGGCCGGTCAGACCGTTTTTAGGTGGTGTTATGATGGTTTGGATGGTATG